TGGTGATGGTGGTGGTAGGTAGCGATGATGGTGTTGGTGAGGGTGGTGGTGTTGATGGTGGTGTTGGTGGTGATGGTGGTGGTAGGTAGCAGTGGTGGTGATGGTGGTAATGATTTCTTAGAGAGGTGGTGCTATATACTCTACCTCAACATACAGTTAACTCAAACAATGCTCCGCCCAACATCATTAACCTGCCTTTAGTAAACACCGCTCAAGCCTATACTGTAGTCATTATTGATGCAAAACGACTATTACTACTGAAGAGATGTGATTTTATTATGATCATTGTTAGTTAACTAAGCTTGATCCTTGAGGCTCGCCCGCCAGTAAACATTCTAGTAAGTGTTGGAAGTGACTGGGACGAGCTCTTTATATAACTCTAAGAACTATCGGTGTGTATGTGGTAACGATTCTCGGCAGGATGGGTAATCTCAACAGTTCCATAATATTCAGATTCTCACTAAATTGATCAGAGAAAAATAATATTTTCTAAGTAATCACCCGTGAAAGGGAATCTCGCTCAGCACCTTCTACTAAAAGAGATTCTGACTCAACGAACTCTTGTTACATGATTCTTCCGCCGACCAAATTCTCATAAAAGTGATCCTCGCTGAACAAATCCAAACACAGGAACTCACACAACTGATTTTCTTTATGTATAGTTACGTTGTAAACTGATCCTCGGTAGATGTGACCACACAAGGGGATCAAAGGTCAGGAAGAGAAGGAAGAGGTCAGGAGTAAAGGAAGAGGAAGAGGTCAGGAGGAGGAGGAGGAGGAGGAGGAGGAGGAGGCCAGGAGGAGGAGGAGGAGGAGGTCAGGAAGGGTAAGTTATACTAAAACATCAACAACAGTATGGCGACACTCAGTCATGTAAGTATCTCTTGTACCGTGACATACATGTGAGCTTTGGTAGGTAATATAACCTGGAAGATAACGTGCACCGCGGTTTTAGTCCACTTTTGTCCTATCAAATATCTCGCAGAATAACCAGGGTTACTAAAGCTTCGTCACTCATATCCTAGTCGTGACCCTGTTGTGCAGCTGCAGCGTGGATATGGTTCTCTTCTCCTGTACTTAGGCTAGTTGGTTCATGCTCGGGTCACCTCCAGCTGTAAATGGATACCCAACTTTATGGTCGGGGAGGTAAGGCGGTTGACTGAAATGATGGCTTCACTATCCCCTTGTGTAATGAAAAATATCATAAGACTTAAGTGTGCTGTATCCGCACTCTCCCCAACTGGCTGTCAGGTGCATGGAATCTATTTCCAGTTCATATCCCTCAGTGATTACTAAGCATACAGCCATTGGCCGAGGGAGCTACACTCGTGTTCAAACATGAAGGCTTCACACAGGAGTACAGTGTTTCCAGCCAATGATTGTATCTTTGACAGTCTCCAGGGAAATGCCAGTCGGTGCTTAAATACCCCAGGTTGATATGCCAGGACTGTAGTACCCAAACTACGTTATTAAGGCTTTTCAGTAAACATTCCTGAAATAATATGAAAACAGGCGTTCCAGTTTCAACTTATTTAGTATTTGCTGATCATCCGTTTCATCAAACACACAAGATTATAAACAGAAAAGCACATATGTTACTAAACATAAATACTAACAAGTTTAAGAACAAGACGTAGGTGTGTGTGTGTGTGTGTGTGTGTGTGTTAAATGAAACCCATAGAACTAATGGCTAGGTACAAGGACTAGAGTAGTACTTGGTAATAACGAAGGAAAACACATTAACAGGGGAAGCATTAGTGAAATTTACCTCAAAGAACGGAGTAAAGCTTAATAAGTAATTTCAGGATTAAGGTAATAAATAAGGCGGCAGCAAATAATGGAAGAAGATCAAAGGGGATTATATTGCACAAAGAACATTACAGTGAGAGCAACACGCCATTTTTCACCCGGGAAACACAAGACAACAAAAGGCAGAGAGACGCGGCCGATCCTGGGCTGGTGGTAGTGGTAGTGGTGGT